CAGGTGGCATGCTTCTTGCTTTGTAGTGGTTGTCCAATAAACAAAGCCTCTGTGTGTGTCACCACACTTGTCCTTGTTGTAAATATGTTAACTTGGTGACTCCAATTAAATAATACTTGCATTCACATGTTCTGAACCTTGGACATTGAATAGATTCTTTATGGTCTTTTTAGCTTGTTATATATATTCTCTCACAGAATTGGCTGATGAGGTTTAATTGTTCAGTTTTTTATTCTTATATATCTGCTTATTATATTTGTATCTTGATAAGGCTTGAATAATTCAATATTATTAACCACTGTTTACTTTCCACACTCTCATCTTTCTCTTTGTAAATTGATTTTCTTTAAAAACTGTTATTCAGTGTTTGTCATAGCAAAAGTAACACCAGGAAAAAGTGGAAGAAGGCTAGCTTTTTTGACAGAAGAGACATTGGAGAATGCAAAAGAAAGTATTACTTGGACATTAATTTTTAGGGTTTTTTTAAAATTATATTTCAAAATAATTCATAGAAGTCATTATTCCATGGAAAACTGAGGTAATCTGCCTTTAAAAAAAGAAAGAGGATGTAGGCATAGCTGGCAAGCTGTTCATCCTGAATGATATAGGAAATAGTGGAAATTGAATAGGAAAGTGGGAAGGAGTGACTGACACATCCTAGAAAAAGGAAACAACAGTAGCATTAATATTCCTGAACTGTAGTGGTCATGCACCTACTTGGCATGGAAATGTTCTCCTGGTTAGAAATTCTGTTTGTAAAAGGTGCAATAGAGATGGGTATGGCAGCATCTAACAACAGATAGAATTGACTCTTCATCTAACCCTCTTCACATATTCATTATCTTCTACAAGACTTCTCACATGCTGAACCTCTGAGTGACTTTCCATATAGTACTGTACTTTGCTACTGTTTCCATCCAACTTCCATTTATAGTGCAATATGTGCCCAAACTCATATTGCTTTAGAACATAGATTCCATAGTAGCAAACACTAGATCCATGTTTGAGTCCTGCTCAAGACCCTGTACAGAACAGAACTTCTGTTATGAGTGACTTAAATACCTCTCTGAATCCATTAACTTGTAAGTATAAGATTTTGTGCCTTACTGTAGGGACTTATTTCACTGTGATCTGGCTAAAAGATTTGTCTTGAAGGAAATACCTTATTGTTTAGGCTCACTCATTTCTTTTACTAAGGCGCTCTTTACAGCATACAACATGAAAGTGTTGAGGAAAAAATGAAACTAAAATAGTTTAAATAAACTTAGGAGTATCTTTTCCTCAGATGACATTTTATCATTGACACTAATATCCCTGTGGACTCTCTGTAATTAGAAGAAGCAGCAACATGTGAGCTCAGGAATTTAAAAGAAGGTAATCTGCAAGAAGAAACTACAGTTTCAAACAGCTTTCAGATATTAAAAGGTTATATTGAACAGAATTTTTAGCTTTATCATTTTTGGAAAGAAACGGCACCTGCTATATTTGGACCAGACTGGAAATTGCCTACAGAACACGCAGCAGGAAAACACAAGTCCATTTTGCCCATATTCTGAGTGCAAGTGCAACTTTGATTCAAAAGCTAAGTGACCAGTCTAGGGACAGCTAATGCGCTACGTTGGGTGAAGGCCAGGAAGCGATAATTTTCTTTGTTAGCAGCCCTGGTCATTAAGAGTTTTATTCTAAAAACAATAACCTTGTCAAGTCCTTTTTTAAAAACACTGTATATATAAAAATAGCATGAATATTTGTATATGTCTGTACATACATATGTACACAAGTGCCCATATGTTTGTAAATATAAATTCTCTTGAATATATAAGCCACTGTTGTGCATATTATTATGGATGACCAAAAGCAAGGCTAGTTGCGTAAGGAAGAAATATTTTGTTAGAACAAACAGTATGAGAGAGATGCTTAGACCAGCTATCCCTTCCAGACTAAAGATCTGGTCCTGTCTGAATGCTAATCTCTCCACCTGTGCTACCAGACTGTGTTACTTGAAAGATGCTGTCACTTTAATTTCATTATTTTCTCTTACTGTGACTAGCTGTTAATATTAAATATTTACGATCCTTCCTGTGGATCTGCACTATTGTAATTATACAAATTAAGCTAAAATATATAAAAACCTGTAGCAAGAATTTATTTTTTGCTCTCTTATCATGAATCGTTTCCTCTGTACACCACAAGTTTTGCTGAGGATTGATCTATGCTAACACACACCTTCCCTATGGTAGTGCTGCACTACCTGTTACTGTGCATAACAAGTGGAGCTGTCAAACATGGTGATATTTTATTGTGTTTAGTGCCTTTAGCTGAACCATCTTGGACTGATTTGTTTAAATTGTTAAATTTGTTTAAATTGGTTACAGCCATGTAAGTGACTAAAAACTAATGTGATTGTGTCTGGGCTAAAGCTGATAAGGGGCAAGAAATGTCATTTTGACATTCTTGTGTTATCAAGCAGATGATGAAGTAAACCATGTTAAAGAAAGATGACACTTTTTGGACTACTTTTTAATGTTTGCTTTAGGAAAAGCGCACTCTTGATATGGGAGACTTGGGATGACACGGTAGCTAGGAGGAGGAGAACTCTAGTAATCAGGAATGCAAAAAATTGCTTCCAGTAAGGCTATTCCACAAAAAAGATGATAGCAAAAATTTATTTCCAGTGAACTGAATCTCAAATATATGAGATTCCCTTTATCTATAAGGGACTGTTTCATTAGAGTCATATTAGTTCTAGTTCTCTTGAACATTTTCTTAATCAGCCTTTTGGGAAACTTGTCTCTGAGCTTGCTTATATTCAGAAAGTTGCTGAAGTCTGTAGTTGCATTTGAGAAGCTGGGTAATTTACTGCTTTCATGACAGCCTAGTTGCTGAGCAAATGGTTTCTAGTGATTTATTAGTAGGACTAGAGGAACTGGCTTGTGCAGAAGAACAACAAAATGGTCAATTTGTTTTCATAACCTCACATCTGAAACAATGAGAGTTGGACAGTATTGCTAAAACTGTGAATGGTAAAGCCATTTTGCACAGTACCAGGTTAACTGTGTTAAATCCTGGGATGTTGGACTGAGAATAATTCAGAAGTCATTTTGGTGATTGAGAAGGAAACTGAGAATACATATGACAGTTACTTAGTTAGTCTGTACTGGCAAAGCTTGAAATATCTTTGCATTGGGTTGACCCTGGCCAGTAACTAAGCACCCACCAGCTGCCCACTCACTTCCCTCTCCTCTTCCAGTGGGATAGGGGGAGAGAAACGGAAGAACAAAAGTAAGAAAAATTCATACATAATAATGAAGACAATTTAAAAAGTCAAGGAAATAAATCAAAAAACCCAAACAAGTGATGCAAAGTCAGTGATGCACTATGTCCTGCCAGGAGACCAATGCTCAGCCAGTCCCCAAGCAACAGCTGGATTGGAAAGACCAAATGCACAGGTTTTATTGCTGAGCACAACATTATATGGCAAGGAATATCCTTTTGGTGCATTCTGGTCAACTTTCCCATCTCTGTCCCCTCCAAACATCTTTCTCTGTCCCAGTTTACTCGCTGAGGGTGCAGAGTGAAAAACAGAAAAGGCCTTGGTGCTGTGCAGTCACTGCTCAACAACAGGTGAAACACTGGTGTGCTACCAACATTGATTTAGCTACAGATACAGAGCACAGCATCACACTGGCTGCTAGGAAGCATTCCTAGCTACAGCCAGTACAATCTTCTGCAGTATCTAACAAAATAGAAATACATTAAAATAGCTTTTTGAACAACTGCACCAGGTCAATGTAATTAGGGTACTGAGAATATGACATTTGAGTATGGAAGGAACCATGTTCAGATTGTACTCTCAGCAAAACAAGATACAGTCTCTGCTTCCTGAGAATACAGATTCCGTTCCAGTCCATTGTGTATGAACAATACAGGTACTATTTTTCTGTATAACAGTTGTCAACATGGATAATATCATAAAATATCTATTGTCTGATGTAACAGATCTTACTTGTGTTTTTCTTTATATCTGAATTGAGTGAAGATGTTCAAAGGTGTCATAGATTTTTTTTGCCAATACTTGTTATATTTCAGATTAACAGAAAGCAGCAATGAATATAACCCTTAGACCTCACCTTTATTTGTCATCTGAAGTGGCTTCTGAAGTGGCTTGCTTATAAATTGGCTTATATAGTTAACCTATTAAGGAAAACATGAAGTCAATTAACTCAAGTTTGTCTGTGAAATGCAACACCACAATGTTCCACTGTGCATTTGCATTAACACTTCTGTGTGCATGCATCGACCACCACAATTAAGTGGGAAAGTAGGAGTTGGTACTTAATGTCCATTTTTTTATTTAGTTATTTATTGCAAATTGTTGCTCTTTTGACTGTGAACTCATCACCTTCATCTAATATAGGTTTAAATAATTGAAATTTATATTTTCAATAAGTTCAATATTTTAACAGTCAGACATTTATACAGCAGATAATAACATCAACGCAGGAGTAATGTGAGTAAAAGTTGAATGTCCACAAGCTTTTTTCCAAATTATGCACATCTGAAAATTTTAGGTTGCCCAATAAAGATAACTTTGGGTGAATGCTTAGATGCCTGTAGCTGCAAGTAGCTTGGAGTAATTGCAAATAGAAATGGCTTGGTGTCTTGCTTCTCTGATTAGTTAAAAGCTGTCCCCAAGTGTTGTCATATTAGCTGTGTTTCTCATCTAAATAGCGTCATACCAGTGTGTGTATAAATATTGTCATTGACTAGTGTTCCCATTAATGGACTGCTTAGGTAGCCTGACTGGGTTCCCACTTGACCTTCATTGAAAGCATTAGTATAGCAATATATTTTTTTTTACTTGTACTTAAGTATGTTGGCTCTAGATTGGCTGGATTTTTTAATGTGTTTTCTTTTAACCCATTCTTTGCCTCCAACCTGCTATTTGTTTTGATTTTGAAGAAAAAAGAGTAATTTTTTTAATCCTTTTTGCATTATAGGTTAATCTCCGAGCCACTGATGTGAAACTTATGCGCCAGCTTCTTATCATCAATGAAAGTATTGAATCAATCAAGTGGATGATTGAAGAGAAGGCCATTGCCAGTAGAGGCAGCAGTTTGAGCGGCAGCCTGTGCAGCTTGCTGGAAAGTCAGGAGACATCCCTCCATGACAGCTGTAACAGTTTACAAGACTGTAGTGATGGACTGGATGGAATATCAGTAGGGAGTTATTTGGACACCTTAGTGGATGATGTCCCTGGTCACCAAAGCCCTTCAGATATGGACAAGTTCAGTGATTCTTCTGTCACAGAGGACCCACAACCTCTTCATAAGCATCCCAAAATTGATTCTGATGAGTACTACTGTTTTGGTTAATAAGGAAAAGTTCCAGTGGGACACAAATGCACTTGTACTTATCCTTTTTCTTTGCTGCTGTTTTATTTCATGTGCAAAAGCCCCAGAGTTCTCTTGGAAGGAGAACATACTATGATACTTCAATGCTACTGCATAACTTTTCCATTGCTTCTAATGCATTTTCTCCTTAATAGGTTGGGCTTTTCTTCTCCTTGCATTTTCTTTTTCATAATTTATTGTCACAATTTTTCTTTCTGTTTTTTTTGTTTCCATTTTTTACAGTGCTGTATTTACAGGTCTTTAAAAGTGGTGAAGAAAAAGCTTTATCTTTAAAATGAGACATCAGGGAATGAGAGCAACAATTTTGTATTTGTTAGCAATAAAATATCTTCTAAAAAATATATGTTGCCATAAATTTTATTGACTACCAGGTTTGGTCTTTCCAAAGACACTGTTTTTATTGAGCCTTAAATCTGAATCTTGAAAATACCTCTAAAAATAATTTTTCTTTTATAAGCAATGAAATTTGGTTCTGTTAGGCTGTCTTCACTTGAAATATAAAGTATCCTAAACTTTTCTGTGTGGGATTTTTTTCTTTTTGCAATGTTCTCATGTCTCTTGTCTAATTTTGCCATTAAATTCTGATTCTAAGTTTGCTTTTTTATTCAGCAGTGTTGTCCTGCTGTCTTTTAGTTACTGATTTGCAAGTAAGAGTTTGCTTTAGCCTTTTTGTGCTTGTTGGTGCAGTGGAGAGCTGCAGTTAGTCAGTTATGATAAAAACAGCTGAGAACTAAAACTGTTGTGTGGAAAGTCTCCTGGTTCATGCTTTTGTGCAGAAAACTAGAAGATAGATTTTATTTTAGCTGCTTCAGAATTATAATAAACACCTGAAGATTTTATCCTTCTACAGTAAGAAAAAATTAGAATAAAAGAAATAGAATTGAACTAGACACTTTTAACACATAATGAATGTGTATTTCCAGTGTACATACAGATAGTGAAAGAGGTATTGATACTTACACGTCATCTAAAAGTGTTCTGTTTTGCCATGTCTGGCAGTATTCTTACTGACAGTAAACAGGAAATTCCCTCACCAAAGAAAGTAATATTTGATAAGTAAAAGGCAGTGTCCCACTTAAGAACTTTTTTACACTTTCTGAAGGGATAAATGCCACGGCCTGAGGGGAAAAGGAGTAGGGACGCGGCACCACACAAAAGGGTTCAGACGCAGCTGAGGGTCTGGGTGCAATAGGGACTTATATAGGGTAAGGGTGAGGGGAGGATTCATAACTGGAGAGGTGCATGGGACTGACAACCAAGGGTGAGACAGGATTGGGAGACAGGGAAAAGGTGGGTGTGACTTGTGGGTATCCAGGGGAAGGGACCAATGGGGGCTCACTCTACACTGCGGCAACTCTCAGCCAGTCAGTGACAGAGGAGCGGGAAAGCAGGGGAGAAGAGGGGAGTAAACAACTTTTGGAGGGAAAATCTGAGGGACAAAGGGGAATAACATCGGGGTACATTAAACTTAGTATGAAATCAAGGATAAACTGGGGAATAACAGTCAGTCCAGTAAGATATCAGTCCATTCAAGCTCCATAAATGTCTCTCCATGCTTGAAATCTTTCCCAATCGGATTTCTTAAACTAGCACATGCAGCAGCAGATGTACGTTATTTTAGTTCATTCTGAGATAAAGTAATAATCTGATAAGGTTCTGCTCTTCCAAACCATGTTTCCATGGATCTGTCTTGTCCAGTCTTGAGCAACATTAAATGTGAAGAACAGGTAGAAAATCAAGAAATTGAAAGTGGTAATTTGTGCTTTGTAGGCTAGTTCCATTGCTTCTTAATACAGAAGATGTCTGTGTCCCTCAAAATTAAAAACCAAGACATGTATGTTTTGCTTTGGACATCATGATTTCTTCAAATAGTGAAGAAATGTGTGGTTTCCAAGAATGAGCCTTCTCAGTTCTGCTTCTGAGATCAACCTGGGTATTTCAGACAGCTTGAAGAAAAATGGAGGCAAGCCCTCAAATAGCAATGCTGTGCTGACTTAACTTTTTTTTTTTAATTCCTTCCCAAGTTTATGACTGCTAGACGTAGCTTAAAAAAAAAAGTTTGAATTAAAAAACGTTGGGAAAAATTATTTCTCAGTGTAAGATTAAATAGAACTTCAAATGTGAATTCAAAATAGGTTTTACTACTTTAAATTATTTTAATCTAAGGAACAGAACTAAATACCTGATATAAAAGTATGGCTATCTTGAAAGCTTTTTCTACCTTTATCGCTTGACATGGAAGTTAAATATCAGGATGTATACTCCCTCTGAATCTAATGAATGTGCAATATATAGAGTCTTTTCTTCCTCAACTGAGATTTTGGGCAGTAGGCCAAGACGCAAATAAAATTTTTCTAATGTGTAAAAAATTAAAGAATATTCTTAACATACATTCTCAAATATCCCCTCAAGTTACGCTGAAATTATTTCGAGGAAAATAGTCTATAGCTGTCATTCACTCTTTTACAACTGGAATACTGGATAAGGAGTAATTACATCAGTGATAGATTTATCACATTATGATTTAGAAGTCCATTTAAATGGGAATCAAAGGTGGGGGGGAAAAGCCCGCTACTAGAAGTGGTGACATAAAAGCTGTATGTGATTAGAAGCTTTTATTCCTCCACGTCTCGACTGGAAGTGGAGAAAGAGTACAAATGCCAAAACAGAGGTGTCAGCAGACTGTTAGAAGTAAACAAGAATTTTCAGGTGTTTGTTTCTGATATCCAAGAACATGAACACTTCAGAGATTTAGGTTTGACTTAAATTCCTTAATTTCATTAACAGGATTTCATAGTCAGTAGTTTACTCTGACTTGTCACTTAAGACAGATCATGAAATTTGATCATCTCTTAAAATTAGTCAAATAACTTTGACACCTGAACTACTACTTGACTGTTTAGACAATGGAAAATGTTCAATGCTCATTAAAAAAGTATTCACATTGAGTCTTCAACTTTGGTTTTAAAGTTTGCATATTTCTTCTAGCTTCCTCTTTATCTGGTTGACCTTGGTCTTGCAGAATCTTTTTGTGGTAAAAAGCGATCTGGATGCCCTCTTCTAGCATAGGCTTCTTTGTAATTTTTTATCTGATTTAGAGAAATACAAACACAAAGCTGTGTTTGTTTCAAATGGATAAAAGCAACAGTATTTAAAAAAGTGTAAAAATAGCAAATATAATTCATTATTCTGTGTCACTTTCTACCACCTTGGCTCTTGTGACACTCAGCTTGCTTTCATTCATGACAAACCATTTCAAGAAACTTTGTAAAATCACAGGTGATGAGCAACACCCACTCCATTCTTATTTCCATACTACTGAAGTTTTGTCTTTGAAAGACATTCCACTATGGAACCTGTGTGATTCAGAGACAATAAGGGACAGTCAAAAATAAGGTAAATTGAGTATGCTTTCTGTTTTAAAATTAATCTTTCCTGTTAATAATAGGAACCAGCTAGTAAATGAATATGCTGTGGTTCACAAGCAAACTACTGAAGCGGGGTGGGGGGGAAGCTTATATTTTCACATCTGAAAACTGCAGTTCTTTAAAGATTCTGCCAAGACAGTCTAGTTATGAAGTTTCGAGGCACTTTCAAAGGAGCAATTAAAATTCTTTGAAATCTCTCTGCCAGCTGCCAGGTCTACTATTGATCTCAAGGTTGCACGACTATGTCTCTACAAATGCTGTGAAAGTGTGAAGAACCAAGCAGGAGCTCTTCCATCTTCCATCAGAAGGCCTGAAACACTGCACTAGGAGACCAAAGACAGAGTAACATCTCTGCGTTTGGAAGAGGAACTACCATTATTCTATGAATAGAAACAAGATGACTAAAAAACCCAGAAATCTGGTGTAACTTAAAATGGGGCCTAACTTTTGAAGGGAGGGGTAAAATGCTGGAAGTACTGTAGAACTCATTTGAAGTTTCAGAAATCTTTCTCTGCATTTCCCTTTGAGAAAGAGAACTAGTTAGTCAAACTGGGTGAAGTGCAGTCTGAAGTTATGTCTGGTTACACCATGTAGCTGCATCTCATAGAACCCTATATAAGCGACTGAGAAACTATGGGGGTTTTGTTCAGTAATCTTAAGCAGTTACTAAGCTGTTGAAAAAGCCTGTGCTAGTATTTTTCATCTTGCCAACACTTCTGAACCAAGTCTAAAAGATGTGTCTTTGATATAAAGAATTAACATATACCCAGTAAACATGAGACAAGCAGAAACATCAATCACTGTACAGCAAAGGAGGCTTTGTTTTGCTTTAGATGTGCTCTCTTTCAGAAAGTTTGTCTTTCTCAGAATACCTATGAATTGACTATAGAAACAGTATAAGAGCATCCTGCCTTGAAACAAACAGAAGCTTTTCCCTTACATAACTTAAAAAGAGATTAATACTACCAGCACTTGACCCTCCCATTGACCAAAGATTAAATTTCCCTACTGAGTATGTCTAGAGTGAAAATAATACAATTTATTTTTTTCCCCATGAAATTTTCTATGCTATGGCATACCACTAGTTTGGTCTTCAGGACTGACATTTCCCTACTATCTTGCTTGGTTTCCTTGGCTCAGTCTCAAAAATACGATATTTGAAAAGATGTGTCTTTTAGTTACAATTAGGGAACTACAAGAAACAAATATATGATAATAAATACTAATGACTGAATTTTGAGTTGAGGGATGGGTTGTTGTTTTGTTGGTTTTTTGGGGGGTTTTTTTCTTTCTTTCTTCCTTTCTTTTTTTTTTTTTTTTTCAAAAATAAGGTGCAAAAACTGTTTTGGTATTCCTGAGCAATTTTTTAATTTCCCCCCCCCCCATTTTTGTCTGATAGTCATATAGAGAGAAAACAGCAGATTGAGCCCAAAGGTATGAAATCATGCTTTTATCTGGGAACACTTATCCTCAGTGCAAACTTATCAGCATTACTGGGTCAAAAATTTTATAGCTGACATCTATAACATTATAGTCCTTTAAAACCCTTTCTCATAATGACAACATTGTTCATCTTCTAGAAACCTATGAGACCACTGAAACCTTTTTAGTTTAGAAAGGATATTGCTTTGATTTTGTGAATGAAAACTTTAATGTAAGAACACAGAAAATTTTGGTTTATGAATTATGAACTCAAAGGACAAAGTACACAATAAAATAAACATCGTTTTGTGTTAGGTCTGTCTTATAGTATACTGTGTTTCTCTTTAATGTTGCTGGAGACAGCATTTGTCTTCAATCTGTATTATATCACTAAAACCCAAAAAGTAGTTTACTTTTTACAGATGGCATTATGTGAGGTTTTGTCAGAACTATTTAAAGTTGTAAGAGCAGTAAGAGGATGCACTGGAATACTGAATTAAGAATAGGTTTTAAGCTTTAGAAATTTTGGTTGTAAACTATTTATTGTTGGCAATATGGCTATTGCTACTATTTCATTTTGAAGGAAGAAAAACTCTGTTCTGACTCTTAAATATTATTTTTTTGCATTCCAAGTTAATTTCCAAAAACCAACACTACAGAAAGAGAACAATAAATGTTATATGTGAGATTATTCATATAAAATTACTTGGTTAATTCTTTTTTCAAGTTTTGCTGTCAGAAGTGTTCCCATCATCTTACCGGATGAATGTCTAAACAATAGTGTATGGCTTATCTGGAAAATCAGTATTAAGCAATACAGCACAAAGTTGTATTTGTAATGAAGTGATTGTGCTGTCTTTTTAGAGAAAAACAAAACAAACCACCAAAAAAAAAAAGCAAACCAAAGACATTTCTCTAGGAAAGGAAGGAAGAGGGACAATAACAGAGTAGTTATCAATGCATCCAGTCCTGTGTGTGCATCAAAAGGATAAGGGATCTCAATATGTTAAGGACAAATCTGAACTGCTGCAGGAGGCAGCCAAAATGTTTTATATATAGAAAACAAATCTGAATGCTTCCTCTGCATTTTCAGTTTACTGAACTCTACCTAAAAGTGTTTGCTAAACCAAGGGAAAAAAAGATTATCAACCCAGCATTTGGTAGTCTTCCCAGATTACTTATTCTAGCTTTAAGACATGCTAATTTCCAGGGGACTGTTCAAATGTTTGAAGAAAAAGTGCTACACTTTTATTAAAGAAGTACACGAATATAAAAAACATTTTTAACAGTAATTCATGCTTATTTTTCTCCTATTGATTTTTTAAAAGCCACCTTTTTCTAAAAGGCAACCTTTTCCTCTGAACGTAAGAGGACTATGCCAATATTTACATATTTTGCAATCCAATTATTTAGGTACAGTTATTAACTTCCCAGTTGATATCACAAATTATCAAATTAGGGACAACCTATTTTTTTGTGCATCTCTGAGAATTTTGATTGCTCAGAAGACCACCTCTTTCTCTCAGGAATACAGTGCCCTTTGTTCTTGACAACTGGCTATCACAGAGTTAGCACAGTCAAGTAATCCTAAAAATATTTTGATGAGGGGGGAGGAGAAGGGTAATTAAAATGCTCCTCGCTTTTGCACAGAGAAGCTGTGTTTGGAACAGTGACATAATTCTTAGGACAAATATGGCTTTCATTTTGCCACCCCACCTCCCCGTTGTCTGAATTAATGTAAATATTTGCTTCAGTCCATGGAGCTACTCAGAGTCATTGCTGGGTCACTTTCTTTCTGGTATTCAACATGCTGATATCAGCAGAGACATTTGCAGAGTGAGTCACAAGGCTGTATGGGAAGCTACCAATTTGTTTAATCTTTGCATAGAACATATTGCTCTTCAGAACACCACCATCAGGAAAGGTAGAGTTGAGAAAGGCTTTCAGATAATAATTATGGGGTTTTTTAAAAAATTAATGTAAGCCTAAACTTACAATCTTATCATCCTACTTGTCATACTGTAGCTTCAGTTACTCCAGACACTCAAGAAGGCTGAACAATGAATTTCAGTTTGTAAGAGGAAGACTGTGATTTATTGATGACTTTTTATACCAAAGCATAAGTAAAAGAGAAAGATACCATCAAAATGTTATGAAAATATTATCATGATACTTTTTGCTCTGAAATGAATTAAAATTCACAATATTCCCTTGGAATTGCTGAAGACTAGGTTTTTTTCTTCTTTTCATTTGGGAGAGAACAAAACCTCTCCAGAGAGCTTAGTTTCTTGGTGAACTGGAACACACAGATGAGGAAGTGAGTGAATATGGAGACAGTATTTGAATAAAGAGAATATACTACTGACCCATCTGAATTGTACACTTGCAATTGTCCTGGAAAACAAATATAATCTGATTGATTTCCAGAGGTGAATCTTAAAAACACCTCTGTTTGTAGTGGACTTTGACAGTACTTGTGGAGACTTCCATGTGGGTAAATGTTTGGTGGCTGTGGGCTTTCGGGTTTTTGTTGGATTTTGCTTGGTTGTTTTGTTGTTGGTTTTTTTCCCCCATTACTGAGTGGTAAGGTAAAAAACTTACATTTGTACCAATTTCTGGTTTAGGAAATCAAACACCATCCCTTCTGTCTTTACTTTCAAGTGCTTGGTTGTTAAAACCACTAAGACATTCACTGAACAATGGTAATCTGTAACACCATGCCTGGAGTTGGACTTTCTCCTAAAATGCTGGCATTTCTCTACCTTTAAATAAGCATGCATGAAACATTTTAGTATACATTTGAATTTCCACAGTAGAAAATCAGCTTAGAGCAGTGTACTGAGGAAGTCAACCCTGTACCAATGTTTCCTTACATTTCTGCACAATGTGAAATCTTTTTTTTTTTATTTCTCTTTTCCATATTGTAATAAATCCATGATACAGTAAAATATAGAGTGGCTTTTTCCCCTTAAGTTTTCATTCGGACCAAAAAACATCTAGCAAGACTTTCAAGTTCTTGGTATTTCATAAAGATGTAAGAATCACTTAGAAAGAAAAATTTACTCTGTTTTTTCTCAAAGAGTTAAAAAATTGTATAGAACTTAACAAGGTAATATCCATGTTTTCAGATCCTTTACTATGACAATTAGGGCAATAAAAGGAACAAGTCTGGTTTACTCCACATTTCTAAGTGTATGTTAATCTTGACATTATGACATGAGCATTTAAAGCCTGAATTGCCAGTTTTGCCATGTCATCAGACTGATGAACCATTGACAGTGGAAACATGATATATTGCCATGTTTTAAGACTAGGTGGCACATTATCTAGCCTGGGAAATGCTTTCAGTGAGGCATCCTCAGAGTGGCTGATTTGTGCTACCAATCCCGGGTTGATTCTTATGCTTTTATACTGATGAATATTAATCAGCAGGACCTGAGGTGGTATCTGGAATGTACAGTACACAGAAGACTGTACCATTAGAGTCTGTCATGAACAATGTACAATTCATTCAATTTATTAATGCTCTGTTTCCCCTTCAGGCAAATCATTTCACCACTGTGTGAGAATAAAGGGCTTCAGTCAGACAATTTTGACAAACTTGACATGTTATTGGACAGAAGCCATGTTCTCAGATATAAACCCACAGCATGTTTTGCTGGGTTTTCTCATAACCAGGCCTGGAAAAGGAACACACATTTCCATCAGTGTCAGGTTATTTGATGCAACACTTAGAAGTTAGCATATGTCTGATATTGAAGAGAACTGCTTAGTGAGAAAGACTTGGAGTTGGAGAGGGAGGGGAGAAAGGACACTGCCAATGTCAAAAGATGCTGTTGTCATGGAGGTTCCAGGCAGTGTCTCAGAACCAAAAATACAAAGCAGGATTAGTCATAAAAGACAGGAAAAACAATTGCATCTCATTTGTCCCATCTGTCTCCTTTCCACCGTTGCAGATCTCATGGGTATGTACACTTGTAAGGCAATCACAAGGCATCATTCCTTTTCGCTGGCTGTTTCTACACATATAGGGGATAATTTTATGAACCCTTTAAAATGCTACAACTTGCTTGCCTCTCCTGCCTCTCATCCCAAGCCACTTTCCTTTTTCACCTTGAGAAGAGCCTGGAAGAAAACTTAACCTGTTCCTTTTAACACTCAGGTAAGGAATCCTGGCAGAGGAAAAGCTGGTCACTATCAACCCACCTTCGCCTCTCAAAACTGCACTACAGGCTTTGCCAGCTACTGATTTGTGTTAACCAGTACAGTAAACAGAACTTTATTAGCCAAAAGGTGATGAAGAAGGACAAAGTTTAAAGGTTTTATAATTCTTTAATTCAGCGATAGTCTATATTCTGCTCATGTTTCAGCAGCTTGTCTACAAAATGGGGCTATATTGTGTCAAAATATCAAAATAGCAGGTAAGAAAGTCTAGCTTTTTCCATGAATAAATTAAAAATAAATTAAAAAGAAGAAGAAGAAGAATTACCTATGGTTTTTTTTTTTTTTTTTGATGTGGAGCAATAAGGTACAAAGGTTTGTCACTTTTCCTTGATAGTGAGGGAAGTTCAAAGTTAAATTTGGAATAAAGCCCAGAGTACCTGGAATCACATAACTTTATCAAGGACTGCCTTTTCATATTGACAAAATACTGTTCTCTGCTGTAGATATCTCATTTTTTCACGTGGCTTCTGACTTCCGGCCTGTAAGGAAAAAAAATTATATACTATATATATCTTCACGTTTTCTATATATTTTATGCTTTATGTATAGAATTCTTTCCTTTTTTTCAGATTACAAAGTCAAAGTAATTTCTTGGACATCTAGCTTCATTTTGAA